GATCGGAATGTCCCGTAAGTTTTCTTTGTGCCGAGCAACAGAGAGGAGCTATGAAGCTAAAAATAAACACCTCATGGATGAAACGGTAGCAAATAGCACCCAGGGAGAATCAATGCTCCCTGCTGAAGCCGCCAGCGTAAAAGACCCCGACACTGTCAGGCATCCATTAATTCTTCATCTTCTTGGGAATTAAGCAATTAATCTTTTTACTTTTTGAACAAGAGTTCAAGGCTGAACACTGTAAATACTTATAGCATCCACGGTTAATGATCCATTAATGGTCATATGTAGAAATGACCATAGCGCCTTGTGAGACCCTGTCATACACAAGAAGGTGCTTGTTGGTGTCATTGCCGTGTCACATTGGCTTTGTCTCCCTGACTCTGATCTCCTTGACGCCTTGCCTCCTTCACGCTGACAGGACATTTATCAAACTGACATGCAGACTGTTGTCTGAACCAGGAACAGGATCGGGGGGCTCCCCTCACCGAGCCGGCCGATAAGCCGAGAAAACTGTGTTCCAAAAACAGGTGTCCGAGGGCAGTTTGTCGACAGCGTGGATGAGGGGTTAGTTTCCGGCTGGAGGCCGCATCCTCCTCGTGTCTTTTGTTGTGCCTCAGCACATTGATTTCTCCTCAGTACTAAGATAAAAGACACTAAGGTGTTTTCCACGACTCCTTTTGAAGCTGCTCTGCCTTTACTTGACAAAATTCAACAAAAAAAGATTGCCTTTTTCAAAGCTCCACTTGCCACGTATCCTCCATCTGTCTCAATCAATCTTTGATTGAATCATTGAATGAAATCCGTGCTGATTAACAAGTAGTACAAATCTAGTGTTATCAGATGCGCACTAATTTGATTTATTTCTTAACATTTAATCAAGCTAAATAATTCAATCGTCTCAAGAGACTGCTTGATGTTGCCTATCTCTACTTTGACCCTTTGTGGCAGTTCGGCTAGAAAAAAGGGGAGAAAATAGCAAGTTATTGGCCTTTTTCTTATGTTTTCTTCCACTTGCTAATTGTTGTGGGGGAAAAGGTCTTAGAGAATAGTAGTAATTGTAGTTATTGGGTTGTTTTTGGGATGCTAAAGCAGAGGCGCAGATATGCACCACCAGCAGAGTTGTTTTGCTTACACTTAACATCTTTGGCGTGCTGCTCACCCACCCGTTCCGTGCACAGCTCGATGGACCCCAGCTCTGCATTGTTCATTGTTGTCCCGCTCCCATTGCTGAGTCATGAGGACCGCCTCCGAACAGCGTGACAGACCTCGGCTCTTATTAGTTCGTTCCCCCAGAGGTTAGCGGCTACACTCCACGGAGCCCCGTATTAAGGCCTCGTTAGCACTCCCCCCCGCCCCCCTCCACATTTTTCTCACCCCAGCCCCTTCGTTCTTCTTCACAGCCAAGCCCTGCCCTGCCCTGCTTTTCCGTCACAAAAAGATGCTACCTCAAGGATATCGGTGCCAGTAATTGACCTAAAATCAGTGGACGCTTTGGTTCCAAGAGCTAATGAGCTGAGCTCCGGGGCCCAAACGAGTGGCCCAGCAGTGTCCCGTCATTGTGCTTTTATGGTGATTCGTCTTTGATGGACTGTTCCAGCTGGATAGCTGCCATCGTTAGCTAGTTTTCTCATTTGACCGCTACGTCAGTGTTGTCGTTTCCCTGGATGCATGTGGTGGACTTACTTCATCCAGTGGCAAGGCGAGGCATATTTTCGTGTACAAGACAATTCAAGGTGCTTTACAATGAGTGTACAAACAGAAAATAAAGAGAAAAGGAATCAACAAAATAAGTTAAATGGATACATTCAGTTTTCATACGCTTAGTTGAATAGAACAGTGTTCAGCCTGGATTTTAACATTGTCAGAGTTGAGGCCTGTCTCTTTTTTTTTCAGGGAGATTTTGGGAGCATGGAACTGAAATGAAGCTTCTCCTTGTTTGGTCCTGACTCTGGGACCAAAAGCCAAGGTTGTGAGAGTCTGAGCCGATTCAAAAGGCTCTAACATGTCAGAAATTTATTTTGGCGCTTGACCATGAAGAGACTTGTACACGAGCAGAGCTTTTTTTTAAATGTCTCCTCTCTGAGAGACAGGAAGAGCCTCTTCTTAGTCTTCTTAGTGTGGGTGACAAGATCATTGCAATCCAAACGAAATGGTATGGTTTTAGTTTAAGCATCTAGGGTTTCAGCCTCTTGTTGTCTGACAAAATGTTTTATTTGCATTTAAGCAGTGCACATGTGATATTGTAGCCAAAGACCTGCTTTAATGTTTTTCTAACTTCCCCATCTCTTCCTGAGCCCCTGCTCTTTTTTTTATTTATTATTACAAAACGCCTCATTCGTACAGGTCCGATACAACGATGTGAGTTTCGGTCTGGTTTGATGAGGGTTTTTTATTTTGGGTTGGTAGCCACCTCTTCTGTTGATGATTCTAAAACGGTTGCACATGCTAAATCAAGTGCACTTCACGCCATAATGCGCAGCCGGCTGTGTGCACACTTCAGCTCCCGGCTCCTCGCTTCGCAATGGATTTTGTGTCATGAAATTCTGCACTCTAGCCACATAGTTAACAGGGAGATTTTTTTTCCTC